ACCAATCGATTTTGGACTGACTCACGAGAATAATTGACCAAAAGATGCATAATAGCTTTCGGATAAAGAATCTAGTGGTTCTAAAGATATAGGCATACAGAATGGTGTCAGCAGTAATTCATCATGGGCACAACGAGAATCGTTTTTGACATACTTCTTTGGGACTGGTAATAAAAGTGACAGAACAGTGTTGCCAGATCAACCATTACCTAATAGAAATGGTACATCCATTAAGACCGGAATAGACATGGGTGAATTGGAAAAAAAATTAGATAATGTATGATACCATGAAATTCTTTTTCTAATAATTTTTTTTTTTTTTCATGACGCAAAAGATGACACCCTTTTCATTTTAAAGGGTGCGATTATCGATGATGCTATTCATTTGACCGATCATGAAGAAATGGAGATACAGCTGATACGTATGTATACGTCATAATTTTCATTGTATATCGTGTTTAAGTATATTAATAACGATGTATAATACTTATAACGTCTTCATAAAGGATCCCTAATCACATCGTATTTCAATCTTGTACGCAAAACAATTCAAGACCTTGTACCGAAAGCTATTATGCATCTTTTGGTCAATTATTCTCGTGAGTCAGTCCAAAATCGATTGGTATCCGAATTATATAAAGAGGAACTATTCGTAGATTTATTGCAAGAAGATGAAAATTTGGCAAGCAAAAGACAAAATTGTAAAACCATGCTTGATGTTTATAGGAAGGCTTTCGATATTATGAATGAGGCTATGTAATTATATGTACGATATGATGTTAACATCTAAATGCCAAAATCTATATTATTGCAACATTTATTAGAAACAGCTACAAGTACTCGTTGTATTTCTATTATGAGTTAAATTCGTTAAACACATTATTTGTTACGCAAGCTTTGTTAATAGAAAATAAATTATCTGTAATAGTCATAGGACAAGTCTACTTGGATGTCGTACTTATTGGTTAAATCATCTAAATTTTATATGTAAATTTTATGTAAAAAAATCAATTAAATTCAATTTATTTTAAGATATAGATATAAATTTTTTTTTAAATTTAGATACTGTAGTGCGCTGATCAAAAGACCCGGGTATATTATACAACAGCGGGCCAGTGTCGCAAGAAAAAAAAATTTCAAGCATAAAATAGTTTGCACTTACAATAAGCAGTCTAAAAATTTAAAAAAAAACCTATATTAATTAATAGAGTTCTCGTGTTTTGCACTGGGTACTTTGCAAGGGGGGATATTGAAAAAGGGGGATACTTTGGTTAGTGCACTACGGCAGTGTTGTCACGGGACAGCTATGGACATAAGTTTGGACATTTGTGAACATTTGTGGACAAATAAATAAGTTAAAATTACTCAAAATTTTATTAAGATAACCTACAGTATTTTTATTTTTAAGTAAAATATATTCAGAATCTAAAAAAATATGTAATCATATATTTTTTAAATAATTTTATTAATTATTAAAGCTTGGACAAGCTTTGAAACAATTTTGGACATGTGAACATTGTGATAGTATGATTATATTTGTACAAATTGTATAATACTTTTTTAAGAAGTTCTTAATACTGATCACAATACTTCTTTTTCTTATTAGTGCTTAGAAATGATCGTTAGCACTTAGTGCTATTTTAAATTATCTTTCTAATAAATTTTGATTGTATTGCTATTTATTTTTAGTAATTGATTTTTTTTTGGCTTATCTTTTTTTGGTAATTTTAGGTTTTATAAATTTCAAATAATTATAGTTTATATACTCTTTATGTGCTTTGCACTTGTGTTTCACTAGTGCAAGAGCAGTGCATGCAAAGTGTTATGCAAATATTCTCAAAATTTTACTTATCAAACATTGGTTGTATATATAAAAAAAAACTGCAAATGATGGTTAAAACAGAATTCCTAAAATATACAAATTAAATAGCATATATCTTAATTACTAAATATAATTATCTATCTATCTTCATAGCTTTTTTTTAAGTTATAAAAGCAAGCAATAAAAATTAGTTAATTATCTAAGCAAAGAGACAAATAGTTATTTCAATGTTTTTTTGTTTACAAATAAAATATATCATTAACATAATTAAAATATATAATACTGATACTACAATGTTTAATAAAAAATAACTTATCGTTTATTTATTAGTTCAATGATCAAAAAAATCAATACTGTAATTTTTATTTTTTATTTAATTATTAAAATATGTATGAACTAGTGCTCCTACGGACCGGACCCGAACCAGACTTTAGTCAAGTCTGAGTCTGGTCTGATTTTCGGACCAGACTCAGA